TTAGCAAATAGGGATTTATTCTCTTATAATTTAGGAGGCTACAAGTCCAAGTTCAAATTGCCAAGCTCTAGGGGCTGGGTTGAAGGCCCTTCGACCTTGGGCTTCAACTGTGCCCCTTGCTCCCAGACCACTGGAGCTGGGGCCATCTTTTCACTTAGGCAGCTGCTGATTCCTGAAGCTGACAAACTCAAGGTCAGAAAATAAAATGGCATAGTCCCAAGATTATCAAACAACATGGCAGGCCACTAATTCAAGTTTAGAGACAGTCCCAAGATTGGCAGGTTGCTGAATGAAGACTTGGCTACATGCAGAGTCAAAGCATTCCAAAAAGCTGCAGAGACCTTTCTCAAAACTTCTTCTTATATATTGGAAGCAGACCACATCCTTAAGGCAGCTACTCAGCTAGCTGCTCCAGTAGATTCCACCATGGAGATGATTACCAGTCTCATCATGGGGAATAACTACATCCAGCTGTCCAGCCACTCAAATCCAGGCCCAGCCAAGTTGACACACAACTTAACTACTACAGTGTTCTTCTCCAGGAACTGATTCCTTCTGACAACATGACCAAAGTAGGTGAGATGAAGTCTAGACATTCTGGCTTCTAAGGAGCATTCCAGCTGCAGTTCTTCCAGGACAGATTTGTTCATTCTTCTGTCAATCCATGGTATTTTCAGTATTCTTTGCCAAAACCACAACTAAAGGCATCAATTCTTTTTGGTTTTCCTTATTCATTGTCCAGCTTTCACAAGCATATGAGGCAATTGAAAATATCATGGCTTGGGTTAGGTGCATCTTATGCTTTAAAGTGGCATCTTTGTTCTTTAACACTTTAAAGAGGTCCCTTGCAGCAGGTTTTCCCAGTGTAGTACACCATCTGATTTCTTGACTGCTGATTCCATGTGTATTGGTTGTGGATCCAACTGAAATGAAATTTTTAACTACTTCAATCTTTTCTCCATTTATCATGATGTTACTTTTTGATCCACTTGTAGGGATTTTTGTTTTCTTTTTGCTGAGGTTTACTCCATACTGAATACTGTAGTCTTTGATCTTCGTCTGTAACTGCTTCAAGTCTTCTTCACTTTCAGCAAGCAAGGTTGTGTCATCTGCATTTCACAGGTTGTTAGTGAGGTTTTCCCCAATCCTGATTCTGTGTTCTTCTTCATATAGTCCAGCTTCTCAGATTATTTCCTCAGCATGCAGACTGAATAAATATGCAGAAAAGATACATGCCCTTGCTGATTTTAATCCATGCAGTATCCCCTTGTTCTTTTTGAACTACAGCCTCTTTGGTCTATGCACAAGTTCCTCATGAGTACAATTAAATGTCTTGGAATTTCTGTTCTTCACAATGCTATCCATAATTTGTTATGATCCACACAGTAGAATGCCTTTGAGTAGTCAATAAAATACAGGTAAAGATCTTTCTGGTATTCTTTGCTTTCAGCTAAGATGATGTGATGTCAGCAATGATATCCCTCATTCTACAGCCTCTTCTGAATCCAGTTGGAATTTCTGGAAGTTCCCTGTCCATTTTTACCATAAATCAAAACAAGACTCACTGCCATCGAGTTGATTCTGACTCATAACAACCCCCTTTGGGTTTCTGGGGTGGTAAATCTTTATGGAAGTAGATTGCCCAGTCGCCCTTCCATGGAGTGGCCAGTGGGTTTGAACCACCGACCTTCTGGTTATTTTTCAGGTAATTCTAGTATCTGTTTCATTTTGTTGCTGATGCCTGTTGATTAGATATATTTTTTCATTCAGTTCGAGATCCTCCTTGTTCTCGATAGCATGTGAGTTTCAGTGGAAATCTGGACATCTTTGTATTATATTAGGAGCTCTGGTAGCATAATGCCTAAGGCATTTGACTGCTAACCAGAAGGCTGGTGGTTCAAATCTACCAGCCACTCCTCAGAAGGAAGATTGGGCAATCTACTTCTGTAGTGATACCACTTTGGAAACCCAAGGAGGGGTCGCTGTGTGTTGGATCCAACTTGATGGCAGTGCGTTGCATTTTATTTAAACCTTCTGGTAGTAAGTGGCTTTTTCTGACACCACACTGGCAGGGTAAGAGGTGGAGTATCTCCTGTTACTGATAGGTGGATGTAGAATTCCACAGTCCCCAATAGGGCTGTGTTGACACCTGATGGTATGCTCATTACTGGCCAGATGTGAGTTTCAGCTGACAACAAGCAGGGTAGGATCTTCTTACTGGTCAGTGAGGATGAAAATACTGAATTTCTACTTGGCCTTCTCTCACAATATCCTGATGTGAATATTGAGTTACCTCATTTACAGCTGCATGATGGCAGAACTCTAGTCTTCCCACTTGGATTTTATTGGCATGGATGTAAGTGGAGAAGTACCTTCTTTCTGTAGTATTTGGCTAGAGTCTAATGGTTATTGTCTAAAATTTTTCTACCTTGCTAAATTTTTCTACCTTTCCTGGCCCTTTAGACAAGAGAGTGCAGGCTTTTGTTGATGCTTTTTATTTTCTGTACTTACTAGCATTTCTGATTTGCTAGCTTCTTTGACTCTAAGTCAGAGAGATATGTGGGGCAAAAAAGAAAACCCAGGAAACTCACCATCAGGTCATTCATTGATTTCTGAGCTCCCTTACCTCTCTGCCACCTTCTTTTCACCTTTAACTGTTGTCTTATGTTTGCTTTAATATATTATACAGAGTTTTTAGTAGTATTTAGAGGGAGGAATAGGCAAAAGTCTATATATTCTATCCCTCTGGAAGCCAATTCTTTCTTCCTAAGGCTTTAATTCCTCTAAGATTTGCCTTTGAGAGAATTTCACAGGGGCTATTTAAACCCTCCATGTCTATGCTGTTATTTGCTTTTGTATCTAAGGGCACAGTTTCAGCCTTCTTCCAGGAAAGCTTAGAAATCTGGGCTTTGGAAGGCTGGGGCTACAGGGTCCTCCTAAGACTGCCCATAACAGACTAACCCTTATTAACTAACCAATGAGTATTCTTGAGGGTCTTCTTACAAATCCCACAATTGAAACAGCTCAGACTTTTGTGCTTATTGAGATAAAAAATATTGCTGGATTTATATTTAAATTTTAACAAATTTTTACCCCCATGGGAAGTTCTTTTGTGCTCTTGATTTACTCCATTTTCTGCTAAATATTAATGTTAAGACCATCTTTTTAGGAATGGAATGGTTAAAGTATACTTATTTTCCAAATACACAATGCTAGATATTATGCTAACATTGCAAAGTGCTTTCAATTGAGTGTTCTCTTTAGAAAGGACCAATAATAACTACATAAACATATATTTCATACAGAAGTTTTTTTCTTTAGTTGCTTTTGGCTGATGGAATAGACTTGCTTAGTATTAAGTATATTTAATCCTAAAATAAGAGAAACTGTGACTGTGGTGCCATGGCTGTCTACCTGTAGTGACCCATTTTCTAAAAGTTATATTCCAAACATAGCTTCTTAAAGCAAGCTGCCTTAGGAGGTCATCCTATTTGGTGAATTTTTCCATCAACTTCCACTTTAGGTAATGCCTTTAAGTCTTCTTAGATTCAGAAATGTACAAACTATTTGAATCTTTCTACCTGTAAATTTTTCTGTTATATTTGCATTTGAAACACACATTTAAGTGTGTTCTTGAAGGCAGCTTACATCTATCTACTGAGGCTTTCTTTTCATTCCTTCCAGAATATGTGATTCTCAGCAAGTTCTGGACTTCTTTAAAACACACACACACACACACACACACACACACAAACAAGCATAGAGTCATCCTGATTTGAAGATTTTGGTAATGTGTTTTTGTATAGGGCATAAAAATATATCTCTGTAATTACATGATATTTAGTGATTAGATAATTATGGATAATTGCATGGGGTAGTTCTAAGAGCTAAAGTGTTACCATAAGATCTAAAATGTACAAATTGCATAATAATTATTCTTGGGAGTTATTTGGTAATTCTGAACATAATTATCATGTGATCTGCAGTGCATGTAATTAATGCATAATCACATGGATTTTTGCCTTCATAACTACTTCACCCTTTTACAAAGCTCTTTGTCATAACATTTGAGTATAAATATAATGTAATTGGTTCCCAGATACAGTACATTAAGCCCCATGATAATTGCTTTCACAGTAACAATACCCCTTATTCCATTCCAAATGCTTGACTCTTAAGCAAGAAGAAGTTAGAAGGAACACATTGCCCAAGCTATGGCAAACAGACAGAGTCGTGGGTGAGCAGAGGGTAAATATGTACATATTGTGAATGAGGATAATCCTTGCCATGACAAAACCTTTCAATGTAGAACCTTCTCCTCTTTCACAGTGACCAAAAATATCTCTTCTAAATAAGATGTATGTTTAGTTTTAGTCTTTTTGCTGTTCAGCCCCAGCCAGTATACATTAAGCTATTTATTTATTAATTAATATAGCAGAGCACCAATTGTCTTTCTGGTCTAAAAGTTTCAGAAAGTTGGAATTTCTATAAGTGGATGATCTGAGTCATAAACTATTGTAAGAGAGAGCCTTGTTTTGGTTTATGCTGTCAGTGCCATACTGCAGTTGCTATAATGTTGGAAGCTGTGATACCGGTATTTCAAATAATCAGCAGCGTCACTCATGGTGAACAGGTTTCAGTGGAACTTCTAAACTAAGACAGACTAGGAAGAATGGCCTGAGAATCTACTTTCCAAAATTAGCCAGTAAAAATCCTAAAGATCATCACAAATATCTGATCCAATGCTTCAAGATGAGTTCCCATAGGTTGGAAGGCATTCAAAATACACAGTGGCCACAACACCGGACTCAAGCATACCCACAATTTTGAAGATGGTGCCCGACCAGGCATGAGTAAGAGCTGACTCAACAACTGACAATAATCACCACCTTGAGTGAAAAATATTTTGAAAATGGAAATGATTACTTATGAGACTGAAGTGAGAGCTTTGGCTAAACTTCCAAAATTGGTAACACAGTTTTTGCAACTTTTCCCTATAGGTTTCACATGGCAGGATGATTATACCCAGCATGTGATGGCCCAGGAACTCTCAAACCTCCCCAAAATTTACCTACGACATCCTGAAGCTTCCACAAGAAAGGCATCCAACCCTGCCAGGTAAATGTATATTTAGTTTAAGTGTTTTTTGCTGCCTAGCCACATCCAGCATGCCTTAGACATTATTATTATTATTAAACATAGTAAAACACTCACTGTCTTTCTAGTCTAGAAGTTTCAGAAGATTTCACTCTATAAGAAAATTGGTTCTTCCTGTCTCTCTTGTTTCTTATACCCTTGTTGTTGGGCACTGTCAAGGTGATTCCAACTTATAATGACCTTGTAGTACAGAGTAGAACTGCCCATAGGGCTACCTAGGGTGTAATCTTTATAGAACAGATCACCAGGTCTTTTTCCTTTGGAGCTGCTGGGTGGGTTCAAACTGCCAACCTGTTGGTTAGCAGTCAAGCGCTTACCCAGTGTGCCACTAAGGCTCATTCCAATCCATTAGAGAAATTTATATTGGAGTGAACCACCAATGAAGGTCTCTTTTTTTATTGGGAGACATGCCCCCAAGAGGCTCTTTCCCCATTTTGCCATAAGATCTTTGGAGAAGTCCTTCATGTTTAGGGCCTTGGTTGAAAACAGAAGTCAGGATTTCTCATTTCTCAGTAAGGGTTCAAGTTCACTTTAGTACAAAAAGCAGAATTAAATTATGGAAGTCTTTGTCTTCTCTTTCCCAAAGCAAAGTAACCTTTAATGATCTAAATATTTTATTAAGTATCATCTCAATATTTTACTAAGTATCTTCTCTGCAATCTATGAGGTAGGAAGTAAGGTCACACCCATTGTTTTAGGTGAGGAAATTGAAACATAAAGAAGTTAAAAATTTAATCCAAAGAAAAAGCACACTAAGGAACCTGGGGTAGTATGTTTGATTCTACAGCTGATGTATTATTTTGTATGTTTATAAAACAGGTAAAGGACCTTTTCTGAAAGTTTAATTTGGAAAATCAATTTTTCCTTGATAGAATATTCTAGAACCATAGCTTTTAGAGAAAAATCTCAGTAACACAAAATTTAGAGGTCTGCCTTTATGCCCATGTCTATTTTATAGATTAAGCAACTGAGTCATTAAGAAGTTTATTTCAAAGTTCTTTTAGGTTTTAAATGAGTTACTATATGTAAAGAACTTAGAGCAGTCCCTAGCACATCAAAAACTCCAAACGAAACTCACTGCCATCAAGTTGAATCCAACTCATAGCAACCCCTTCTTGGGTTTCTGAGGTAGTGTCACTACAGAAGTAGATTGCCCAACTTTCCTTTCGAGTAGTGGCTGATGGATTTAAACCACCAGCCGTCTGGTTAGCAGTCAAGTGCCTTAGGTACTATGCTAACCTAATCTTTGGATTTTTTTTTTTTTTTCTTCTCTCTCTATATGTATCTTTTTCTTTTAACCTAGCTAGGGATTTTCCTCCCCTCCCTTCCCATCCCTGGTAACCAACAAAGAAAGTTTCCTTCTTTGTATAAACCTTTCCTTGACTTTTTACAGTAGTGGACTAATACAATATTTGTCCTTTTGTGATTGACTTATTTCACTCAACATAGTGTCTCCCAAGTCCATCCACATTGTGTGGTGTTTTGCAGATTCTACATTATTCTGTAGGGTTGCATAGTATTCCATTGTGTGTATGTACCACAGTTTATCCATTCCTCGGTTATGGGCACTTAGATTGTTTTCATCTCTTTGCGATTGTGAATAGTGCTGCAATGAACATGGGTGTGCATATATCTATTTGTGTCCTACCTCTCACTTCTTTAGGATATATACCTAGTAATGGGATTGTTGGATCAAACAGTATTTCTATTTTCAACTTTGTAAGGAATTGCCATACCAATTTCCACAGTGATTGTGTCATTTTATGGTCCCACCACCCATATCTTCTTTCTTTTTCTTTTTTTTTCTGCCTGATTAATCTGTAGCTATCCTTTAAGATTTTACTCTTTTGACTCTTTCTATTATAAATGTAGCTTTTATAAACAATATAAAGAGGCATTTAAAAAAATCCATTTGAGAAGCTCATAGGACAATTTAAACCATTGAGATTCCTTGTTTCCTTAGGGGTTTTTTGTTTTCCTCTATGTAGTATAATTTGTTTGCCTTTGCTTTCTTTAGTATTTATTTCAAATTTTATTTTAAAATAAATTACTGGCTATCACCCTTAGGTTTTCAGGATGTTTGTTTGTTAAATTACACTTTGTTTCATTATTAAAGAAATGAATCAGATTCTGATTTCCCTTCATGGGATGGTGAGTTTATTTATCTTTTCCATTTTTCATTTCTCTCATAACTTCCTCCCAGGTTTTGCTTCTTGAATAGTATGTCCCTAGCCCTACATGTGCCTTGTACCTCTCACTGCCACTGAGTCGGATCTGACTCATAATGACCCCTCCTTGGGTTTCTGAGGCAGTATCACTACAGAAGTAGATTGTCCACTCTTCCTTCCGAGGAGTGGCTGGTGTATTTGAACACTAGCCTTCTGGTTAGCAGTCAAAAGCCTTACACACTACGCCACCAGAGCTCCCTCTTTATACCTAGTAGACATTTAGTTAATGTTGAATAAATGAAGGAAGGAAAGAATGAACTAATGTAGTGACACTTTTTAGTTGTTTTATGGGTAACTTCACTAAGCAAAAATCTTGTGTAACTTCCTTCATTCCACAGTGCAATTTTAGAACATTCTGATTATACAGTTATAATAGTATTCTGATACATTAGTATCCACAATGGGCCAGTGAAATAGTTGTCAATTGATCTTTAGAGAGATTAAGTAACTTGCTTAAAACCAAGTGTCCAGTCAAGAGGTAGAGATGAGGTTAAAATTTAGTTATCAGTATTCCTAGCCCTAGGGATATCTGTTTTTGGACTTACCAGAGTTAATGACCCTGACCTTCTCACCTAGTATCGTCTTCTTTTTCCACATGTAGTGGGCATTGACTTACTTGAACACTGTGAGAAAGGTAGAAAGAGACACAGCATGGATAACCAACAAAACTGTCATTATGGAGAATGTATGCAAGGAACAGTGTCAGCTAGAAACATAAGAGGTCCCAAGAACTTAAGAATGTGCCCTCACTCTCTAGGCTCCAACAGGAGGAACCAATGATTAGCAATACCAGCAGTATACAATGAACACCAGTTGATGCTGTTACTTGCTGTAGAGTCACCTCCAAGCCATGGTGACCCCATGCACAAAACTGTCTGGTCTCACATCCTCTTCACAAGCACTGGTGTCCTCAAATCTGTTGTGGCCACTGTGTTTTGAGTGCATTCTAGCATAGGACATTTATCTACTAGTACAATATTGGACAATATTTTGTTCAATTTTCACTGGCTAATTTCAGAAGTAGATCACCAGCCCTTTTTTCCTAGTCTGTCTTAGCCTGGAAGCTTCACTGAAACCTGTCCATCATGAATGACCCTGTTGGTAAGTGAAATACTGGTGGTCTAGGACGATTGTAGAAACATGCAAGTCACCACAGATAGGTAGTGGAATGAACACCAGTAATGTTACAACTGGAAGCACTGGGTCAGGATGGTTGTGAAAGTTTACTCTGAAGAAAATGAGCCTGAAATGATTATTGAAATAAGGTTAGGATTTTTTTAGACAAGCAGTGAAAACCAGAGTCATGTGTGCTAAGATTTCATTCATAATTTGAATTTTATTTTTCAGCAAATTGAGTGACAACTTAGTATTTCATATTATTTGGAGTGGGAAGTCATTTCATTGAAGAGGGAAAAAAGAAGTGTGAAATACTTTTAATATTTTTGAAATAGAAAATATGTATCTACAAAGTTTTGACCCAGTGAAAGCTGGATTACAGGACCAAAGTCAATTTGCAGGTTAATTGCTATAATAACACACAATGGAGTGATGAACACTTCATCATTGCAATATATTACTATGTCACAAACAAATCTGTAAGCTGGAGCAGACACCAGGGGAAGATGAATAAGACAATGTAAAGTCACATTTATGAGGTGGTTCTATGTGCATTGATTAGCAATTAGTGAGAAAAATAGACAAAGCACCAGACAAGTAAATTGACTTTAGTTAAATTACACTCTGATAACTTAGAACATGAAATTTCATCCATTTAAAAATGGTCAAGGAAACGATAGCCATGATTTTGAGATGCAAAGAATTGTGACTTACTTGATAATTTATATTCCTATTAAGCCTGAGCCAACATATTTAAAAAATGCTTTAGAAAGCATTATAAATAAAAACAGGATAGTTTTATTAATTTCAATAATTAAACAAAAATATGGAGATTTTTCTACAAATTCCAGCTTTGACAAAATACTTACAGATATGACCCACCTAGTATCAGTGATCTGTTCTTAGAAATCAGATGTCCTACATGAAAACACTAACTGGGAGGGGCGTCTATTTCCCTTAACTTTAAGTGAAAATTTTATAGAGTTAAACAGTCATTTATAACCTCTATAAACTTTTTAAGTGTATCTAATCATAGTGTAGATCCATGTATAAGTAACAAACTGTAATGTTTGGATATAAAATACTTAACTTATTGCTTCCTGATCACTAAAAATTGATAGTTATTAGCAAATTGGGTGATTTTTTTGGGTACTGCTACCCCAGTAAAAATCTGGGTGGTGTAACGGGTTAATATGTTTGGATGCCAACTGAAATACCAGATGTTTGAGTTCACTTGGGAAGAATGGCCTAATGATCTACTTGGGAAAAATCAGCCATTGAAAACCTTACAGAGCACAGTTCTACTCTGATACACATGAGGTCAACCTGAGTTGAAACTGATTAGACAGCAACAAGTTTAATTCATTCTGTTTCTCTTAGCACCTGAAAACTCTTGAGTTGCACTTCCTTTTGATTGATGTTGAGGACTTACCATTGTATTTGGGATATAACTCCAGACTTATTCTGCACAAGATTTTGTTCAAAATATAGTAATGAATTTGTGAGTGAAAAAAAAATATGTATGTGTGTGTGTATGTATATATGTGTGTGTATGTATATATATGTATGTATGTGTGTGTGTGTGTATAGCTATATATATATATATCTGGTGGCATA